AACGTCTGACCAGGCGTCCCGCAACTAGAATTCTAGTCTTACTTCTGCCCCTTCCCAGCTCCACGATCTTAGGTGAGTTCACCCTTGCAGCCTCAGTTTCCCCGACTGTGAAACACAGGAGTAGAAAGAGAGGATTTGAAGTAGCCACAACAGTCTTTGCCTTTGTGCAATCAAATGAGTCACTTGGTCCGTTCTTCGCATCCGTCCTCAGTAATTCAAACATTTTTGCGCATCCAGAATCCTTCATTTATTTCAGATTCTGTTTCTCACAAGTGAGAACCGCCAAATTGGGCTTAAAATGATTAGTCCCCCAGACAACATATAAAGTGATTATGTTAAATGAACCTAAAACCGTGTTCCCTTTTCTCTGCTAAAAGAATGAGTTTAATCTCCTCAGTTTTTATCTTTGAAAATATTGAATGGAGCTCCTTGCCATTGGCAGTTATCAGTGTGTCCGAAGCAATACACCGGATACACGCGTTCCCGCCTTTCACACCCCAGACCGGCTAAAACCTAATTTGAGGCCATGGTTAATAGACGAGGGGATGACCTATATCAGCCAAGGGGAGAAAGACCATTTGCCTAGGATGAGAGAAAAGAGACCATGAGAACCAAGGAAATCAATCCATAAGCAATGGGCTTCATCTCTCCTACGATTTCTGTTCCATTCTTCAAAACATCAAAATTCTCTCCCCAGCTAGGCCCACTGCACACTCCACTGAACTCCTGTCCCGGGGACCCGGGTTCCAAGCACATACTCAACCAGCTGAAGTCCAAGTAGACTAGACTGATGTAACTTTCCTTTAAAGAAAGTTAGACATTTCTGAGCATCCGTGAAGCACCAGGCTCTATGCTAAGCTTGTTATGTGAAGAACTTATCTAATCCTCAAAACAACTCTTCAGCGTTCAGAGATTATTATTCCATATTTAGAAGAAGAAACTAAATACTTGAAAAGGTTACATAATGTGCTCAGAGTTGCAGAGCCAGAATTTGAATGTAGCATAGTGTGATTTCAGTGCCTACGACCTTCATCCGTTTTCACTCTGCTGTCTCCCTCCAGAATTGGAGAACAACCTGCTAATAAACAAATACTGTACGAGCAGGTCCCCTCAGTGTGGGGCCCGTCGGCATTCCTTTCATACCAGATACCCCTCCCGTATCCACCAGGAAAGCTTTTAGTAATTTCTGATAGCACAACATAAAGAATTGTTTTAATTTGACAACGCAAATTTTTAGTTGACCTTTGGAGTACATTTCTCATCTTTTGCTTTGCTTTGCATGCAATTCGGTTTATGACGGAGTGCTGGAATATATACCTGCTAATACTAAATGTTTGTATTGTCCTATTAAAATAATGAAAGGGTGCCATGAAAAGGGATAGGGATGCTTAACTCATGGAATGATGGCAGAAAAAGTAATAATGAGTCCAAAAGGTTTTTGAAGGGCCACTGAATATTAAAAATGCAAGACAGCCCCAGTAGAGAGGGGATGTGCTTTCAGTATGTATAAAAGATTAGCCTTTTTGCCTAAAACAAGAAAAAGTGAATTTGGCAGGTGAGATTTTTTTTTTAAATTGTTAAAAGGGTTTGTGTTAGAGTTAGAGCTGTAACTGATGTTAAAAATCCAGAACCCATCCAAGAATATATTACACGCTAGTTAGCACTGATCAAACAAAAACAGAAACTTGGAATTTTGCCTTTTTTTCTGTAACCTTGCCCATCTTTTATAACAGCTAGGCTGGTAGAATTAAGTGTGAGGTAAAATAAGGAACCTGGGTCATTCTCAAAGTGGACAGTGAATTTTACATTAATATTCTCATGGAGAAGTGAGAAAATGTCTCCATGGCAGTGACCTCCAGAGTTTATGGATGTGTTTTCGTGTACAAACTCTATGTATGTGTTTGCGACATTGTGCTATTACATTTGACCAGTAAAATGTCAGCATCGTAGACATCTGGATGGAACATAGGGGTGATGATTCCTTCTGATGCTGGGAATTTGGATTTCCTTCTCCTTGGTCTTGGTTAATTGCTACATCAACAGTGTTTACCCCCAAATTAAGTCACAATTAATATTCATCAGACTCTTAAGTAAATATCACCTCTCACCCTTTAATCTGTAATGTTCAGTACAGCAGACTACTTGTTTTTTAAAAAGAATAATAGATATGCCTTCGTTCCTTCTGCCTCATGATAACTTTCAAGACAAAGCATTTTTTAGAATTCTAAGAATATTTTGGTTCTAACATCTAAAAACTTAAAACACAGTAAAAAAAAAAAACAAAAAAAAAAAAAAACCCAAAACCCCAAACCGAGTAACTACAGAAATACAAATAGCCATAGAAGAATGCCACTGTGAACATTTTAATTGTTTTCACTGAGCCACTTTGGAAAACTAAATTCCTTTGGCATTATGTGTTCAGAGCGTCTTTGAGTTTGGCCGTTCAATAACTTACTAAAGCACAGAAGATGAATAACGTAAAGTGGCTCCTAATATGGTATCATTTTCATTTCCTGTTTGTTGAAAGATAAATGCTAACACTGTAAGGCTTTTTTTCTTCTTCTTAATTTATTCCTCCCTGCACCACAAGGGAATAAAAAGGAAAAAAAAAATCAAATGTGATACGGCTTGAGACTGAGTCATCCAGCCAGGATAAGCCAAAAGCCTTTTTCTCCCTTGCTTTCGTACCTTTTCCCTTTCCTCTGCCTTTCCCCAAATGCTGAAACACCCCTTTTCCCTTAGAAAACACCTTTATTTTAAAATGTCCTGTTTGACTTTTATTTTGGAATAATTCAGCCTAGGAAAAATTCATATTTCTTTTTTCTTTTTTAAATTTTTTTTTAAAGATTTTATTTTGGGGGCACCTGGATGTCTCAGTCAGTTGAGCCTCTAACCTCGGTTTTGGCTCAGGTCATGATCTCAGGGTCATGGGATGGAGCCTTGAGTCAGTCTCCATGCTCAGCATGGAGTCTGCTTGAGATTCTCTCCGCCCCTCCCCCTGTTCATGCTCTCTCCCTCTCTAAAATAAATAAATAAACAAATAAATAAAATCTTTTTTTTTTTTTTTAAAGAAGATTCTGTTTAAGCAATCCGTATACCCCACATGGGGCTCGAATTCACAAACCCTGAACTCTTCACACGCTCTATGAACTGAGTCAGCCAAGTGCCCCCAAAACTTGATATATCAAAGAGTTAAGGTTAATTATATGACATAGAAGAAATGAGTCCTTCCCCAGTTCAAAGGCATTATTTTGGACAAATGGTCTATAAAAGCGCTACTCTAAAAAAACAAAAAAAGTGCTACTCTAAGACTGTCTCTCTCTCGCTTTTCTCGTTCTCTCTCTGACACTCACTCATTCATTAATCTCTTCCATATTTTCCCCAAATTGCACAGCTCTTCTTCTTTATATTTTAGAGATCTACTTCCCACTTACCTTACAGAGGTAATTATTATCATGTCTGGTATTTTCGCTGTAAGCGTCTTTGCTCTAGACCTCTCTGCCGCAGTCATTTACACCACAGAACTAACTGTCCTTAGGCAATTTTGCCCTAAGAAATTAAAACTAAATAATAACTGGTTGACATTTTGGTTTGACAGTTTGGTTTCATTTCTTCATTGACAAAGTACTTCCATATTTGTATTATAAATCGTAGCCCTCGTAATGGTGTACATGGTGGCCCAGATTTTCCAATCCACATGTCCTGTAGAACTTTGGAATGTCTCTCCCTGGGCATGAGACCATATGTCAAGAAGAAGCAATCGTGTAGAAGGCCTTCACAGCGCCATACAGAGCTCAGTTACAAACGTGTATTCTGGTATTTGGAAACGGGTATCTCTTCTTAATAACAGAAGGAATTGTATCGGTAAAGGAAAAAGTGCGGGGCTGAATGGGAATGAATGAGAAAAATCAGAAAATGTATGATTGTGTGAATAATTGGAAGATAAGTGAAGTGCTTCGATACAATCCACAAAATAAAACCCGTTACTTGTGCTGGATTGCCATCAGTCTGCACTGTATACTTTGGAATGGATTCAAATGTTTTATATGGAGAAGCCGTTTCATTTTGTTATTCATTTTTTGTTTCATTTTGGTTTTTTTTTCGGGAACATCCCGCTCTCATTTGTCATGATCCTATCTTTTATGGTGAAATTGTCCTACAGCCAATTAGTTGTGTGGCAAAGATGCTTATGGCGAAACCACCTATAATCAATTATTCTGCATCCTCTGTGCCCAGCTGCCCTTGAATTATCAAAAATATCATCATGATAAACAGTTCAGGGCAAGCTAAAAAGAAGGAGCATCTAGTAGTATTTCGAATGCAATGACATACATCGGGTTAGAAACTTGTGTTTCTCCAGAAGGTAATTTTTTGTACAATGAGATGACTTCCAGTTTTTGTTAAGATGAGACTGACACATAGCAGGCACTCACATGCTGAATACATGAATGATGAGGCTTAATTCTACATTCGCTCAGAGATGAGACCTGGTCAGCCCTTGTCCTTGTGCCTGCCCTACCAGTATTGTTCAGCCGCACTGTGCTTAGCTACGCTTACCTGTTAAGAAGGATGAAGTTAATTCTGCACAAATGCATCCGTGCATCTAAGAGCTTTTCCCCAACCACAAAAGATGAATTTTACGAGGGTCAGCCACCTCAGTCGTTTTCCTTTGGCTTGTTCGTGAATAAGATTGGTTAATAGGCATGATTCACGTTTCTGTCTTTTAGCTGTCTGTGTTCTATGGGACTCCTTGGTGCCAGCAGGCCTAGAACTTCCCAGTTAAAAGCTCATGCGTCTTGTGTTGAGAAATCTCACACCGACACCTCCAGTTGCCTCGAGTTTGGCAATGGTTGTGTACATTTCAAAACGATGAAGCAACGAGAAAGATTTTGTCATGTGCCATGGTGCTGTAGTTTAATTTGGAATATGTATCCTTTCGGATGTTAAAATAGTAATGCATCTGTATTCAAAGAAATAACAGAGCATTTCCTTCCCACCAGCTTGCAAAAGACAAGGAGCGTCTGCAAGCCATGATGACCCATCTGCACGTGAAGTCTACGGAACCCAAAGCCGCCCCTCAACCCGTAAGTACCGACCTCTCCGCCAAGGGCAGAAACCCCACAGTATCCCTTCGCTGTTTCCCACCCCGAGCAACGGAGGCCAGACGGTGTACTCTGGCAGCTGTTCAAATCGAAGGACTTAAGTTCAGTTGACTGTTTCTGGGTACCTTGGAGGAAGAGGTCAGAGTGAGGGGTGTTTAAGAAGATCGAGGATGATTCAGATCCTTGGCCATGGGGCCCAGCAACTAGCTCTTCGGGACAGATGACTGGTGCTCTAGCAGGGTAGGACAGTATAGGACGACTGGTCACTGGGAGGGCGTGGAAGCCTTTCTACACCGTGGGAATGCAGAACGAAGACCGGCAGACCACAGAGTCAAGAGAAAAAGGCATTTCAGCCTGAGTTAGCTGAGGCACAGCAGGTATAAGAAAGGGAGTGAGGGCTAGTCCAGTGTAAGTGTAACAGAGGAAAGAAACAAAACACACTCTCGGAATAATTGGAGGCTAAAATTATGGAGGGCATCCAATGGTTGCTAGAGAATTAAAAGTGAATAGTACTCTTTTGCAGTTAGGAGACCAAACACGGTATGCTGCAATTACATTGAACTTTTAGGAATCTCTGGCTTCTTGCCTTGTTCCCTTTTCCTTAACCTTGAAGAGTGCCATCCAAGCACAGACCGTTAATATCGAAGCAGAAGGATGGTTTCTAAACCCCAAATCCTGTCTTGGGCCTCATTCCTTGCTATAAATTGATCGCTTTAACAGTTGTATTTCTCATATACTTATATTTCTAAAAATCTCTTAGTAGCTTCCCCTGATTATTCAACGTGGAGAGAGTGCTGTGCTTCTTGCTTTTTAAGATTTGTAAAATTTAAAGGTACACTGCCTTTATTTGATTTTGCTTGGAGTCACTGTGTGAAAATTAATTGAGCGTTGACGATCTATAGTTAGTACCAGCAATTTTAATCAATACGCAATGATGCGGCGTAATGGCAAAGTATTGGTTTATCTGTTTTGACTGATTTTTTTCTATAAATAAAGCAAACATACACCCATATATGTATGATTTATGGTGATAGAAATAAAACGGAGTCAGACTATTAACCCAGCAAATATGGTAGCCTGCCAAGATGCAGTTGGCAGACAAAATTAATGTCTGAAACAGAACACATTACTGAGATACAGGACATAAAGTCATTAAACACTTTGTGCATCCATCTCTACTAGGAAAGAGCCCCTGGTTTCCATGTGTTTTGCAGCAAGTGGCTACAGGACTGAATGTGTAGGCTACCAAGAAGAAGGGGAAACAGAAACCAAGGCCATTCCGTGTTGTGGGTTCGGTAGTCAGCTCTGCTGTCTGTGCTGCCCTCATCAGCCTCTCCTTTTAAGGAGGGTCCTTGGGACAAATGTGAGCCCAGTTAAGGCAAGTTGGTAAGATCCGGAATGACTTGATGGAGTTCTTCAGTGGGCACAGCTGGTTGCGAAGGGCATCGATTGCCTTCTGAACTCTCTTCATGTTGCTTTTGTTGGAGATTCTCCCCCACCCCAGGATGAAGGTTTGAGTCTTTAAACCTGTAATAAGGGGGAGAGTGAGATTATCTCCTCCTTCCTCCATGGATTAAAAGCAGTGACAGAACAGTGTTTAGACTCCAGACATTAGGATGGACTCACGTTGTATGATGGGGCTCCTTGGATAGAAGGAGGAGAGATAAAAGTGGGGAAAGAGTTGTGAAACCCCAAGGGGCTCTCAGTGAGTGATGGGGCCGGGTGTTGACAGAGAGCGCCGTGCAGGTAAGCCTGCATAGACCAGGAAAGGAAAGGACTGTTGGGAATCTCCATGAGGACCAGTGGGAAGGGACCAGTAAACAGGGAAAAGCAGTCCCAGGGGAAATGCAACAGGGAGGGAAGGTTTGTCTTGATTAGTATTTTAAAAAAAAATGTTTTACATTCTAGAAAATTATAACTTTGAAGGGGACCTCCTACTAAATTTATTTTTAACTGTTCTATTGAAAATTCTCTACCACTAGTCAACATTATCTCTTAGTAGCTCAGCACAGTATTTCTTTATTAAAAGAAATAGGCACGAATATTTTTGACTGAAAAATTAATAGCTTTTGAATTCATACACAGCAGGTTTTCTTTTGCAAAGAAGTCCAATATCGCTGCACAGCACTTCTATAACCATTTATTTAGTGTCCAAGTCAAACCTTTGACAGTTAGAGCAGCGCTACAAGCCAATATAAAGGACTCCAAGATGTAAACCAACAATGGGCCGTCTGTGTGAGGTTTGCCGTTGTCAAATACATAGATTGTTTGGATTAGTTTATGTAAATGTACTGTTGTATTACCCCTTGGAAAAAAAAAGATCACATTTGTGTATGAAAAGTGGTTCCCTTCACAGGCAGCATTATAAATTCCTTATCCTTTAACTTACATGTAAGAAGTAAAAATTGGTGCCTGACAAGCAGATATTGCGTGACACTCTGTTGCCAGAGTGAACCTGCCTTCTTTTCATTTATTGGAAAATAGAAAATTTTATTATAGATACCATCTTATAAATCAGGAATTATTAAAATACGTATAGGTGAGGCATTGGGAAATTAATTATAAAAGGTAGACGTGTAGTGTCTTGCATAAATTTTTACTTTCCTTGCCCAAAAAGGGGGAAAATAAAAAGGCACACACATTGAGCAGACCCATGAGTCTTTCAACTTTAGGGATACAGAGCTATCTGATGATCATTTCTAAGGTGCCAACGATTCTTTTTTTGCCTGTAATTAATTTATTCCACCTTAAATAATGGAATGCACAGTATGTCCTTCTAGAATCTTTGATTTGAAATAAGCAGTCACCAGAATTCAAATCTAACCATAGATGGGGACTTTCATGTTACAGCCTTGCCAGTAAGTTGATGATGTTTTTTTCTTTTTTCCATTTCTGTTTAAAAGGAACTTTATGTTTATTTTAAAATTCTTAGTCACTAAGTGATAGAATGCTTTGCTGTAAACGTTGCTTTTCACTAAATGCCATTTGGGTGGTAAGTGTCATTTGTTGTATCCAGTCATCCAACCAGTCCCTCTTTCATTGCATCAGAGAAACTGCCAAAACCTTCTTGGACTGTCCTTACATCAGCTCATAGATGCATTTCCTGGACCCTGTTGTGGAACTCGTCTTCCCATGTGGGTCTTTGGGGGATACGCTCACCTCAGGACAGTCCTGAGTTTCTAGATGTAGCTCTAAGCTCAACTCACATGAGGACATGCATCGGTGAGCCTTTCTGTCCTCCAGACACCTTCAACAGCACCTCTCCCCACTTGCCATAAAAGTCTTCACACCAAAGAAAACCTTTCCTTTTGGAATTACACCCAGAACGCAACACGGCACAGTATTTCTGGAAAGGGAATCCCTGTGTTTCATGTCAAGGTGTTTTATCATCAAGTGTTTATGAAGGGTGCTGCTATAAACACGGAGCAGTAAAACAAGAGAGCCCCGCCCCCGCCCCCGCCCCCGAGGTGCTGGAGTCTCGAGGGACACACACTCACGGCGTGGATCGTGCCGTGCGTCCGTGGAACCGCCGACGTGCGGCAGGCGTTCCGGGAGACGTGGTGTGCCAGAGGAATGGGAAGAAAGGGAAAGGAGTCAGATCTGTGAATCTTTCCTTGGGTTCAGAGGATGCACTTGCGTCTGTGTGTCTCTGAGGAAGCCATGTCACAAGGAGGAGGCAAAGGACCAGCCAGCATCAGATAAAATAGGCTTTCCATTTTTTAATTTATTTCACTTGTAAGCTTCTGATTTTCTGAACCCTGGGCCCTGGATGGAAAAGGATGTGTCAAAGTTTCCCAGAGCAGCTGTATATTCTGGCTCTTGGGTATGGACAATGAGAAAAGCCTTTTTTTTTTTTTTAATTTATTTGACAGAGAGAGAGAGAGACAGCGAGAAAAGGGGAACACCAGCAGGGGGAGTGGGAGAGGGAGAACAGGCTTCCCCCGGAACAAGGTGCCCGATGCGGGGCTCCATCCCAGGACCCTGGGATCATGACCTGAGCCAAATGTAGATGCTTAAGGACTGAGCCACACAGGGGGCCCCCCTTTTTAAATTTTAGTTATTTGAGAGAATGAGAGCATGAGAGGGGGGAGGGTCAGAGGGAGAAGCCAACTCCCCGCTGAGCAGGAAACCTGAAGTGGAATTCGATCCCAAAACCCTGGGATCATGACCTGAGCCTAAGGCAGTCTCTTAACCAACTGAGCCACCCAAGCAACCCAAGGGAAAAGCCTTTCTTGGCAAATGTTGAGAAGGGCCAAATTTGCTCTGAGTTTAAAAGATCCTTCTCTTTTCCATGGGAAGAGAAGCAAAAAAATCAGACAAGAGCAAACTCTCCTAAAGAGACAGACGGATATTCTTTTGTTCCAGACTCGGTAACATTCTCAAAGTAAACACCAAAGCGTAGTGCTTTGGGGTTCGTGTCTCCATGCTTGCTCCGTGGAGAATTTGCCAAGCTGTCTCCTTGGAGGGGGGAAGTGTAACTCAGAGGACAAAACAACAACAACAAAAAGAAGCATGTCTGTGTTAGGGCTTTATTAAGTTGTAAAGGGTTTTTTAAGAAGACTTCCTCATCATGTCAGGAAAATCCCATAAATCGTATGTTATAATCCCAGAGGACAGGAGAGGTGCAGGCCTGGCTTCAGGGTATTCCTGCACACCAGAAACCTCTCCTGATCCTGGAAAAACCACATTCCTTCAGATTTGGTGGGCAAGTAATTATAGCGTAGGTAGTATATCCACCTTTATGAAAATGTTATAAAACGCTTACAGGAACTTGGATGTTTGAAGCAAGATGCAGTATTACATTTTCCTTCTTACGCACTCTCTTTTCCTCCAACCACAGCAATTAGGACTGTTTTGAAATAGTTTTTAGCTACTATAAAAACAAAGTGTCCCCCTCCCTCCCATAAAAGGGGTCTTTTGACTCTTAAAGCAATGGCTGATCCTTTGGGCTGTTTGCAGCCTTGCTCTAGGCCTAGAGAAAC